CTGTTTCCAGGAGACCCTCGGCTCAAAAAAATAATAGGAGATGATATATTAGTACCATAAAAATGCGTAATAAAAATAACAACAATATATAAGAGATATGAAATATGAAATACAGGATACGAAATACGAAATACGAAATAGATGGCTGATATAGTACAACTAGAAGGTGTCAATCTTTACGACAAATGAGATCTCCATCTGAAAGCAGTCAAAGATGTGGTCAATTTTCTTTCTTTCTTATGTTGTTGTTACTTATTTTTGTCTGCTCTGTGTTTTAGTCCTAAGTTTCACTATACAACAATTTATTTTAAGATGTAGTAGCATCTCTATTTTGCTGAAATTCTATATTTGTGATAATGCAGGTCGCCTCTCCCACAATGGTGGTAAGTATTTCGATACTGGAGTAGTAGACTGCAATAACTTTATTACAGCGTAAGCATTTTGTTGAAAGGAAAACTTTAAAATCAATAAGTCTGTTAATTATGATTTCCTTTCATTACATCACACAGCTGTAAACCTTTCTTGAAGTATTTAGCAAATCTATTTCCTCTTTAATGCTTTGTGATTTGCCTGTTTTGACAGTTCTTACAACAATATACGTTGGAAGTGTTACATGTGAGTCTTTATCTTACCCTACGAGGATTAGGATTCTTGATCACCTCTGAAAACAATATACAACAATTTAATGTTTTCCATTTATCTTTGTAAAACTATGCAGTTTCAATTCTGTCATTGCGCTTTCTCTTTGGATTGGTTTTCCTGATTGCATTAGTTGTGCATAAATGGAGAAGACGACACTTATCTATGTACCAATCAATTGAAGACTTCCTGCAAATCCAGAGCAACCTTGTGCCAATTAAGTATTCCTATTCTGAGATTAAGAAGATGACTAATAAATTCAAGGAAAAACTAGGCGAAGGAGCCTATGGAACTGTCTTTAAAGGAAAGCTCCGTAGTGGTCCTTTTGTTGCAGTGAAGATGATGCACAAATCTATGACTAGTGGCCAAGAATTTATCAGTGAAGTTTCCACAATTGGAAGGATTCATCATGTTAATGTTGTGCAGCTCATTGGATTCTGTGTTGAGGGCTCGAAACGTGCTTTGGTATATGACTTCATGCCTAATGGTTCCTTGGACAAGTACATATTCCAGCAAGAAGGAACTATTTCCTTGAGTTACAAACAAATGTTCGATATATCTCTTGGAGTGGCCCGTGGGGTAGAATACCTACATCGGGGCTGTGACATGCAGATCTTACATTTTGATATTAAGCCACATAACATTCTTCTTGACGAAAATTTCGGCCCCAAAATATCTGACTTTGGGCTTGCCAAATTGTATCCAACAGATGATAGTATAGTGAGTCTAACTGCAGCAAGAGGGACAATGGGTTACATGGCTCCTGAGTTGTTTTATAAAAATATTGGAGGAATCTCATACAAAGCCGATGTATATAGTTATGGCATGTTGTTGATGGAAATGGCAGGCAGAAGGAAGAACATGAACCCATTTGACGACCACTTAAGCCAGATTTACTTTCCTACCTGGGTTTATGACCAATTTAATGAAGGAAATGATATAGAGATACATGATACCACCGATGAAGAAAGGAGGATGGTAAAGAGGATGATAATTGTGGCGTTGTGGTGCATACAGATGAAGCCAGCTGATCGTCCTGCAATGAACAAAGTTGTTGAAATGCTTGAAGGAGATGATGAACTCCTACAGATGCCCCCAAGACCTTTTATAGCTCCCCGTGAGATTAATGCTGGAGATGTTATTGAGACAATAAGAATATCCAGTGACATTCTAGGTTGTTAAGGTTAACTCACCATGTTGTGCAAACCATGATAAGAAGACCTTAAGGAGAATACCTGAATGCCAACACTGCTTCCATGCAAACCGTATAGATGAATGGCTACGATTAAATGCTTCCTGTCCAGTTTGCTGCAAATCTCCAGGCCCAAGCCATTATCTGTTAGTGAGGCTCCCTAATTATTTCTCATATGAATGTAAACTTTATCTTTTAATCAACAGCATGACTACACGAGATGAACCTTAGTTTAGTATATTGAAGTTGGTCTCGTGTAATAATGAGGTGCTCACAGGCTTTTATTTTATGAGAATAGATGGTTGGAAGTCATACTTATATTCTTGAGGAAATCAGACAGAAATACCCATAAACTTCTTTTTTTCATTGTTTTTGGTGTATGGGCTGGTATTAATTCCTTCCCAACCACAACCTTCTTCTAACAACATGAAGTCTTGCATGCTGTTTTGTATAGTAAATTCGCTGGTTGAGAAACTCAGCTTTATTTAAATTCTACTCAGTATAATTTACAGCAACCGAATTGATATAGAAATATACCAAAGAAGTACTAGCTAGTAACATTTACATGAGTCTTATTCTGGTTATTTGTTTCTTTCTTTATGAAGAGAAATGTTATACCTCAGATTTACTCAATTCGAACTTGTACCAGTTTCAAAACTGCTTCCGAGCTCACTGCTGAATTGGCTTCCTTCTGCAGTTGTCCTCTTGTTTGGCGAATTCAGAGAGCCGAAAGGATTAGGTGGCATGATGGGACAGCCTTCTCCTTCTAGCATTTGAATCACAACTTTCATTGATGGCCTATCCGCTGGATACCATTGAATGCACCAAAGTCCTACAATTGCTAGTTTCTTGATTATGCTGCTGTCATCTTCATTGTCAATTTGGATTTCTATTTCTTCTCCTTTCTCCAGTTGTTTGTACATCCACTCGGGGTAGTAAATCTGACTACTGCTGTTCTCCTCATTTGCAGCATCAAATTTCTTCCTTCCACCAATCATATCAAGCAACAGCATTCCAAAACTATAGATATCTGCTTTGTACGACACATTTCCATAGTTCCTGGAGAACACTTCAGGGGCAATATAGCCAATGGTGCCTCGAGCAGCTGTCATTGACACAGCACTTTGCTCCTTTGAGCACAACTTTGCCAGACCAAAATCCGCAACTTTTGGATTGAAATCTTGGTCTAGCAAGATGTTATGAGGTTTAATATCAAAATGTACAATTCGTTGGTTGCACCCCTGATGCAAATACTCGATACCTTTGGCGATTCCTACAGCTATTTGTTGCATTTTCTCCCAACATAGTGATGAACCTCTCCCGTTCCCTGACGATATGATCTTTTGAAGCGTGTCATTTTGTAAATATTCGTACACAAGAGCGCGTCTATATCCATCAGCACAATATCCAACTAAGCGCACAACATTCACATGATGAATTCTACCTATGCTTCCCACTTCATTAATGAAGTCTTCGCCGTCGCCCTTGAAATTGTTAAGGACCTTAATTGCAACAAGAATTTCATTGGTTAGCTTCCCTTTGTATACTTTTCCATAGCCTCCTTGACCTAGTTTATACTTGAATTGCTCTGTTATCTTCTTAATATCTGCATAACTGTATCTTGTAGGTCTGAGAGCTTTATAATCCTCTAAAAATCTCTCAATCCTTTTCTGATCCTCTTTCTTTATTTTCAATTTGACTATTTTGTACACTACTAAAATGATTAACGCGAAGGCAAACACACTACCTAGTACACTTGCGACAATAACTTTCTTTGACGGCCCTGTAAAATAAAGATGGTAGCATTATTAGCTTGTTGAACAAATCAATCTTGATTTCTTAGGACAATAACTCTCTTTGATTGCCCTATAAATTATTCACTGATTATTATTCAGAAAATGCTCTAAAAGGTAAAAGTTGTGCCAATTGAAAAGGGAAAGACAATTCTAAAGATGTACCTTTGCTAGGAATGTCAGCGCATTCAGTTTCACTGCCTGAACCATTGGATTTCAACTTGCAGTACTTTCCATCAGCTTCACAATTTCCACAAAATGGTTCGGACCAATGCAAATAAATCTGGGTGGGACTATATTCTGGTCGCCCAAAAAGTACCTCGTTTGGAACATCTGAAATATTGTACATCTTTGTACACGAAGATGGAAACTGAGAGATACTATAGTAAGATCGAAAGGCAAGAACGTCATAATGAGGGCCGCTAAGGCAGTTGATCCGATCAGAAGACGTTGAGTACTCCTTATTTGAGGAACAATTGAATAAAGTGAAGCCACCATATGAGTTCGGATCAAAAGTAAACAGCGAAGCAGACGAGTTTATGTTTGAAATTTGCCTGGGAAGACACGAAGCATTGAGTTCTGATAATCTTATTGTCTGTGAGTTGTAATCAATTTCCTGAACAGAAACATTGGCTGATATTGGAATGACAATGTTCTTGATAGATGCCTGCAATGGAAACTGGAGCATGAATTGACTAACATTGTCTTTGGTACAAGACAGTTCAAAACCAGGGTAGCCACAGTTGGTTGGCTGACGATTTTTAAGGCGAAAAGGGAATCGAATTACTGGACCGAAATCGCCACATCTTGTTGGCAAGCATTGATCTTGGATTGTTATTACTTGTCCTAGAGCTACTCCCAAGAATATTAGATGCAGAAACAAGTGAATTAGGATTTGGGTCATTCTCATTTCTCTCTTGGGAAGAGAAGCAACAGTCTCCAACAATGGTTGCTGAGTTGCAAAATGCTTAGCTTAGTTGCCAATTAGGAATCATTCTTGTAAGAGTGGTCCTTTTGCCATAGAAACTGATTGTGCTTTAAAGTCAACACGCTACAACATGTACTTAACAAGTTGCTGAGTTGTTGAATCTTTCAATATCTTTGACTATCAAATATGGCGACTAAAATATCAATTCTGCTAATTTATCTTGGAAATGTCATAATCCCACTCTATCAAATTAAAAGCAACGTTAGTGGATAAGACTCGGCCATATATTGCTTGTCATAATCAATGATCAATCCACTTGTTTTTTTTTTTCAAATCATTCCACTTAATTTTAACAAATAATTAATCCAAGGACGAGGTCATATATGTCAAAGTCCAGTCAAACTTCCTTATCTTTTGACAACCATTTGGCCCGGGCCTAAAATTTTATTGGCCGCGCTGAAGAGAACGGTCATATCGTCTATCAAAGAACAAGGAAACTTGATCAGGTACATATAACCACATCAAGAAAAAAGAAGATCACAGTATCTTTTTATTTCCTCTCTCTATATTCAATTGAAAACATGTTGACAAGAGGGCTGCTTTTCGCTTGTGTTTTGTTACTTGTGACATTCATAACCAGTTCTAAAGCGCAGGATATTTCTCAATGTATCCCTTCTTCCTGCGGCCATATTTCAGAAATAAAATTTCCCTTCCGATTGAGGACTGATCCTGAGCATTGTGGTAGACACGGATATGAGCTCGATTGCCAGAACAACCAAACCGTGTTCAATTATAAGTCCAGAATTTTCTACGTACAGGAAATTAACTACAGAAGCTACTCAATAAGGCTACTTGATCCCGGCCTAAAAGATCAGAGAGAAAATTGCACAGTTTTTCCAAATCACAGGGCAAGTTATGATGCCATGACTAGCCAAATCTTTGAATGGGTTCGCGTTAACAATGATATCAACTATGTCAACTGTCGAGCTCCTATCAACTCGTCACAGTATATTCCTACAAGTTTTTGTAGCAAAAATACAACGAGTTTTAGCTACCTTGTCATAAGAGAAATATTGCAAGCTTCGGATTTGGTTGGCGGCTGCAGAGTTGAAACTGTTGCATGGTCCTCTGCTCCTGGCATTTCATCAAACAAGTCGTCTACGTTAACAAGCACACATCAAGGCCTGGCGTATGGGTTTGAGCTCTCTTGGAAGCGTAATCTGTTATGTAGAAATTGCGACCCGAGTCGTGGCGGCGAGTGCACTATTGAAGAAAACAGCGACAGAGCTACTTGCCGTTATTGGTGCAAAGAGGACATTCACGTTTCGAAACTTACGTTCCGATGCAAAGTCGAGTACTATTCTGGTAAATTAAAGTTTCACTATACTCCACCTGCCTTGTTCTTTTCATATTGATAAGGCATCATATATGTTGGAGAATTTTACTAACTCGATTTTTCTTTGTTTTCTTGTTTGTGGCATTGGCAGTTTTTGTATTGTTCTTTGGCGGTATAGGAATAGGTAAGGCTCTACAATTAAGATCCAACCAATTGTTTTTCAAATAAAACTGCAGATTTTTCTAACTAGGGCTGTTATTTTCTGAAATTGTGCAGGTGGAGTTTTGGTGCTGAGATTTCTACTGGGAATTCCGATCTTGATTGCAGCAGTGCTGTGGCAGTGCAAAAGACGGAATTTGCATACATCCTCCAATGAACAGAACTGTTAGGATTTTTGCCACTCAAGCTACTGTAACAGAAGTTTAATTTGTCTATTTTGTTGAAAATATCTAGGCCAAGGTCAGCCTGTGCTGGCGATTAATTACTAGGATTTTTCTTTCCAGTTTAGTCCTGTATATTTTGATATTCTTACCTATTTGATTGTGTATGATTTTTTCTTAAATTTTATAATTTTCCTAATTCATGTAAGTAATTGAATGGATATTTGTACTTTCTGTCCAATAATAGGACATGACATTCGTTAGTTTTGTAATACTCCTCAAATTTATAAAAGTTTCGAGATACGCTAACTATAGAACTAAATTATTACTATTTTTATTATTTTTATCTTGCCTAAAGTGATATATATATATATATACAATTAGAGGAATATTAGTAATTTTAATATTGTTAATTATTAAAAGTGGGTATCATTAAGTATTAGTTTAAAAAGAAAAAAAAGAAAAACAAAAGGAAATAAACAAACAAAACAAAGAAAAAAAAAATGTGACCTAACCCATAAAGTGGATTTTCAAAAGGAAAACATAATACCCTGCACAAAACAGAACACTTTCTGTTTTAAAACACAAGAACAAAATCAAAAGCCTTCTGCGAAACGAAGGCAGTCATAAGTTAATCACGCACAGAAAATTTTAGGGTTCTTTACCAATCATTGATTTTTGAACTCAGGTAAGTAAATTTCCTTATTGTCAATTATCGTATAGTGGTAATAGGTAAGAATTGAATAGCTAATCCCCTTCTTCCTCCATATCAACAATAAATTTCATATTTAAGTGTAGTACTTTAGAAATTAATTAGAATGCACTGGTTGTTGTAGAAATGATTGTTTGACTGGTGTCAATTGGACTGGGGCCTACGTATTGACTCGAGAAGTTTTGAGGTGA